CACAACAGGGTGAAACGGATATGGATTGGACGGTGTATCATGTGGATTTCTTGATGATGTGGATGACGAGGTTCGGTAGGTAGGCTATTTCTGAACGCACCTTGGCCTACAATGTTTTAAATGATTACATGTTATGGTATGGACAAAATGGGATGCCGTAAATACTAAATGAGGAGGAGTGAGCAAGAGAAATTTATAGGCCTCCCTAAATTGTCCACTGATGCAACATCACGATAGAGGATAATTAAGTCAGAGTATATGAACACAAGCTGAAGCCTCATCGTTGGGAATGGAATAGGCATCTGCAGAGCATCGGATACCGCTGACGGCATCTACATTCACACCCACTCGACTCAGTCAGCATTTCAACATATGGTGCCTCGACAGAAGGTTTTTTCATCGACGCATTTCATTCATATCTGGCGACCATTGTTCATTCCCACTGCCCTTCTGCACCAATTGAACCATATTATATGTTACCTTCATGTTCATCTGTTCGATTGGCAATAGACTTGAGATCCGATAGTGTTGTGAGTTGATGTGCCGTAGAGCATGTCATGCACTGGTCTTGGTCCCAGTGGCAATGGTGGTACTGGACATGTAGGTGATGGTAGTGGTAGTGGTGGTGGTGGTGGTGGTGGTGTTGATGTTGATGAGAGTGCTGATGATGCCCCCAAATATAGATTGATTCGTAGGAATCCTTGTCTGACTCGTCGTCCATCACAATGTTGTACGAGTGGACATGAGCATCATTAATTGTTTAAATTTGTAATATTTTTATTTAATTGAACTTTATTTTCTTTTTTTAGTTAATCGAACTCTGTTTTCTTTTTTCTTTAAATAGTATTCAAATATAATTTTACAATTTTTCTTTTCAATTTGTTTAAATTATTATTTAACTTTAAATTATTAAGTTGTTTAGGTTATCCTTGAACAATATGATAACTAGTTATTCGGTTTCATGCATAAATAACTTGGGAATCATCATATTTACTAAAATTGATTTTAACAAAACATAATTAAAAACAAAAATACACGAGATGTTTAAAGCTCTTTATCCCGACATTCACGTGCATAACATAGCAGAATCGGCTCTTCGTCCTCATAGTCTTGTGAAAACCGAGTTACTCTTGCATTGCTTGCTGAATATGGTTCTTCCTAAAATGTTCATATAACTCAATGTTCATACCACCAACACGTGTGTAAGACTTAAACATCTTACGAAGGCCGCTTGCATTTGATAATGTTAACATGTAATGTGCTTTAGGGTCAGGCTTATCAACCAAAATGGACACCGGTCTTGTTTTTATAGACATGTTTTCTCTTAATCTTGCTCATTTTAGAATGTGAGACTTGTCATGTCAAATCAAATGTTGTTGCCACATTAGGAATCTTTGCCCACACCTGGAATCTCTAAGGACCTCGTGTTTTACATAGTGCGAGTTTTTTTCCATGTTAGGAATCTCTACAAAACTCGCGTTTTGCATAACGCGAGATTATTTACTATAAATAACCCCTTGTGTTGATTTTGTAAATTTCAACACGGTCTCTACTTATAAAGGTTTTTCTTCTGGTGGCACAACTTGACACGAAACTTATGCCAATATTGGTTCTACAAGGTATGCCACCTGAGGAGAATGTCTTTTATAAAAGACACGACCTTCTCAACAAAATGCTTGTTTCATTAAAACCGCCTACAAACAATGTTTATAAAAGACATTCTCTTCGGGTGGCCTCCTCTGCAACTTGTCTTTTATACAATATATTTGTAAAGTCGATTAAACATGAGTAACCTGACCTTCTTAGGAAACTCTACGAAGGCATCCTCTTTTGGTGTCATTCTCTACTTATCGCTCAAGATGCTGATTTGACAAATGAAAAAACTCCACTTATCTTCTTAGCTTTTTGCCTTGTATTTACTACGGAGGGCTTCTCGGGAAACTTCTCGTTCTATCAAATCTCGACCTTCTCGGGAAACTAATCATTTCTAAGAAGGTATCCTCTTCTAGTGGCATCCTCGACTTATCGCTGGTGACGTGGATGTGACAGTGGTGGGCATGGCTTTCGAATTATATTTTTATGCCCGATTCACTCTCCATCAAACCCACGATATTTCTAAGAAGGCATCATTTTCTTGTGGCATCCTCTACTTAAGGCATCAAACCCATACTTGGCACAACAATACTAGTTCCTCAAACTTATTGTGTGTTTTTCATTGTACTACTTTTGTTTCAAACAATTTTCAACATGATTATTACACCGCTTAAAATGTATCGTATCTGACGATACTATCCATGTTATCAAGCCATTTCATCTTCTTTTTATGCACAAAACCAAGCATTGGATCCATTTTAAACACGGTTTTGTATTTTCATATTCTTGCACAAAATAAGCTTTGGTTCCATTTTCAATACGATTTTTAACACGCCTACAATATCTCGTATGTCTTTATATTGGCCTCAATTAGAAGATAAATTCCAATACTATGGGAAGAATCTTATAAATTACAAAAATTTTGAGATTGAATACTCGAGCATGCCCCCGAACATATCTATAAGCACTTGTGGTTTGTTGGAAAAACTAAATACCTCACTCTTTGGAAAACGTGAGGTATATTGAATACTTTTCGCGATAAACTTTTCGGGATGGTTCAATATCTAGTGTAAATCGCATTTTAGGAAACACTAGGTATTAAATAATCATATCAAATTGTGTAATCTGAAAAGTGCATAGTACCTTGCATCCTGTAAAAAAGCGAGACCTATGTACACGCTGAGTACAACACGAATTAGTCCTATGTGTGCTGTTTGGGAGGCATTTTTCTAACAAATCTGCTAAGGGAGTTTTTCTTCAAAAAAATAATGGGGTTTTTTCATTGTATTACTTTTATTTCAAATTCTTTTCAACACGATTATTACACCGCTTAAAATGTCTCGTATGTGCCGATACTAGTCATGTCTATCAAGCCATTTTATCTTCTTCGGTATGCACAAAACCAAGTATTGGATCCATTTTAAAAACGATTTTGTATCTTCTTATTCTTGCAGAAAGCAAGCTTTGGTACCATTTTCAATGTGATTTTTAACCCGCCTATATTACCTGAACATGCCTATACGCACCTGTGGTTTGCTAGAAAAACTAAATACCTTGCTCTTTGGAAAATGCGAGGTATATTTAATACTTTTCACGATAAATTTCTCGGCACGATTCAATATCTTGTGTACCTCGCGTTCTGGGAAACGCAATTTATTAAATAATCATATTAAATTATGTAATCTGAAAATTTATAGTACCTCGCGTCCTGTAAAAAGCGAGACGTGTGCACGTGCTCAGTAGAACGTGAGTTAGTCCTACGTGTGTAATTCAGGAGGCATTTTTCTAACAAATATGTTAAGGGAGTTATTCTTCAAAAAAAATTAAGACTCGAACTCAAAATCTTGCTTAAAATATCAAATTGCTTACCACTTCGATCAATCCCGATTGATGGCATTAATTATTTAATAGAGGTAACATACATACAAAGATCAAAGGTTCGTTGTTTTATTGACAACTCCAAACCCATATATATTTAACAAGATTACGACGGAGCTGTGCCTTGCTGTCCTTTTCCCCATTTTTTATTTTCTTTTATAGGAACAAATATAAAAGATGGAAATGGTCAGATCAGGTACTATATGCATATACGGTATATCTGTTGTTTTGTTAGTTACTGATTCGAGAAACCAGCCCCATTGTGTATCTAAATTATTAGGTGCGTTGTCAATAATTAAAAAAATATAAATAAATATTATTTTATAATTAGAGATGGATTGGTATGAGTGAGACAGTCTCCCTGAAATTTAAAATTTATATATATAAAAAAAATTATATATTTTCTATTAAAAATTTATTTTAACCCTATGACGTTTTATAAGTTTAAATTTATTTTTAATATAAAATTATACGTCCATCTTTATTTGTAATTATTAAAGACTATTGAAAAAACTTCATAATATATCTTTGATAAAAAAAAACTATTACCTTTCTCCGCTCCAATGTCAGTATGAGATATCATATCACCATCTATATGTACGTACACTAACCAATTTTTTAAAGAAATAATGTCATACAAAGAAATATAAGCCAATGTGCCTAAAAATGGGTGGTTTTTGAACTAATGCTAGAATGTGAGACAAGAAACGCAGTGAACTGTGTGGTGTATCTATGTGGCTACCCTAATATGACCCTGACTTCATTAACTAAAAAGGGTTAGTCTCCAACACCCATTTCTTGTTTTCCAATTCCGCTTAAATGAGTTACAATCTTGAGATCAATCAATCAGTCAAAGAATAAAAATGATGGTAAAAGGTTATGCCCATCAATAAACATCACATCTCTTAAGTCTCCAAACCTCTAATGACACTTCAGGACTTAAAACACGACTATGTAGTTAATTTCTAATGTTCAGGGCCTACTAATTTTTAGGATAAATTTTTAATTGTCTTCAAACTATTATTTTTTTCAAAAATCATACTTAACGTTATGTTTTAATTTTTATTTCGATCACTCTTCATTAAAAATTTAATAAAACTACTAAGATGGTAATTTATAAAAATATCAATGATGACGTGATGTTACTTTATGGTGACACATCAACATTGTTGTTAATTTTTTAACGATGAGTGACCAAAATGAAACCAAAGCGTATCGTTAGGTATAATTCTAAACAAAAAATAGTTGGGTGATTAAAATGGAACAAAAGTTATAGTTAGTGTAGTAATTGTGTAGTTTATCCAAATTTTTAGTGGTTTTTATTGAATGTGTTTTGCATGCATCGGAAAGAGATGAAAGATAAATAGAACCCATGCATAAAGAAAACAAGGGGTACTATTGTCATCTTAAGTCTTTACCAATCTTGAATACGAACAAAAATGTAAAGCTCCGTATAAAGGCAAAACCATGTATCCTATAACCACCACATTTCCACTCTTTTTCTGTTTGATTTCTCTCCAAAAGCATCAATGGCAGACCCCTCAACGTACAACTTCTTCAACAATCAGGCTTGTTCAGCTCAAAAACCCTTCAGGAAACACTCCCAAATAGCTTCACCATCCGCTCCTCCCAGGCTTTTCCAATGCCTCTACTGTCACAGGAAATTCTACACTTCCCAAGCTCTCGGCGGTCACCAAAACGCTCACAAGCGTGAACGCGCCGCCTCTCAGAGGAAGTTCCCCGGTGGCGGTGACCAAGATAACCTGCAGTCCCAACCATATAACCTTCATCTACAGGTTAACAACCCTTACCCCTCCACCTTCCCTACTGAACCACCGCCGATGGGCTACCCTGGTGGTGGGGCTCAACAGTGGCTCCATCCCTTCCATCCTCACCTCCCTCCTGCCGGCATCGTTCCTCATCAGGGGTTCAGTGGCGTTTCTTCCCATAAGACTTTGTCTCCGACCACTGATGATGCTTATGACTCCGCCGGAGTAGATGTTGACCTCACTCTCCGTTTATAAAAAGCTACTTTCTTGCCTTTTTCTTATCAGTTTATTTGGTTGATCTTTTATCTTTTAACATGTGAAAAAACGGCAACTGTTGATGGAAACAAAGAAAGAAAGAAATAGGGTTTTGACGTTATTTGGTTTAGGGTTCGATTTAAGAGATCTAGCTCTGAAGAGGCGCTGAGTTGATGAGCTTGATGTTTTGTTTATGATTTGGTACTATTTTCTAAATGGATATTTAAGTCACGTTTTGTTGAGTTAAACTTTGTGATGTTGATGTGTTTTAGTCCTCTTTTAACCTTTATTTTACGATCGCCATACTCACAATAGTACGTGTTATTGGCGATAAGAAAAATATAACGATCGAAAAAGCTGTAAATGAGTAGTGCTTTCTTGCATTGAAGAAGGATTGCAAGACTGATTTATATACAGCTATAAAGTTAACTGACTAACCAAACAACTACGACTAACAAATCAGCTAACTAACTGATAATAAACAAACTAACTATAAGCTGATAACTAATCAACTATAAGCTATAAAGATTACAAGCTGAAGTTGATATACTCTAATACCCCCTCAAGCTGGATGTGTATGTATCTTAAAGAGACCCAGCTTGACAATGAAAGCTCGATGTATGGGAGCCCGAAGGGTTTTGGTGAATATGTCAGCCAATTGGTCTGAGGAACAGACGTGAAACAACTTCAGAAAACTGCTTTCACCTTGTCTCGTACAAAATGACAATCAACTTATATATGCTTTGTTCTCTCATGAAACACTTGATTAGTTGCAAGGTTGATTGCAGCCTGATTATCGCAATATAATCTTGCAAAATCAACATCCATGTGAAATGAAGAGAGCAAAGAAACGAGCCAAACTAATTCACATGTAGACATGGCCATAGCTCGATATTCAGCCTCGCAGGAAGATCGGCTAACGACAACTTGCTTCTTTGATTTCTAGGATACCAAACTGTTACCAAAAAAGGCACAAAAACCAGTTGTGGATCGTCTTGTATCGGGACAGGAACTATAGTCTGAGTCAACAAATATGCTCAAGTGGTTAGTGGATTGAACTGGGAAAAACAAACCAAGACCAGGAGAACTTTTAATATATGCCAGAAGATGCTTTAAGGCAATCATATGAGGCAAGCGAGGTGAGGATACAAACTGGATCACAAATGGACAGTATGGACAATATCTGGCCTAGTATTAGTCAAGTATAACAAACGGCCTATTAATCGACGATACTCCTAGGGATCAGGAAGTAATTCTCCTTCATTTGCACTCAACTTCGAGGATAAAAGCATTGGTGATTCGGCTGGCTTGGTACCAAACATCATGTATCTGCTAGTAATTGTAATGCATATTTTCTCTGGGATAGGATGATTTCATAGTTATTCCTAGCAATTTCAAAGCCTATGAAATAACGTAGGGGCCCCAACTCCTTTAGTTTGAAGTGCTTTTGTAAAAGGCTTTGTATTTTATGGAGAGAATGTAGATCTTCCCTGGCCAAAACGATGTGATCTACATAGACGAGAAGAGCAATGAATCCACTGCCACAACCCCTTATGAACAAAGAATGTTCAAATGGAGATTGCTGAAAACCAAGTTGAATAATAACGTTTGAGAATGCAGTGAACCATTGTCTGGATGCTTGTTTCAGACCGTAAATAGATTTGTGAAGCTTGGAAACCATGCTAGATCCTTTGAGCTCAGACTTGTATCCGAGAGGTAGTTTCATGTAAACTTCCTCATCTAATGTGCCATTTAGAAAGGCATTGTTTACATCTAATTGTAACAAGTGTCAGTTGCGTGTTGCTGCAAGAGAAATGAGGACTCGAAATGAGGTCATTTTTGCAACAGGTGAAAAAGTTCCATGTAGTCAATGCCTTCAACTTGTATGGAGCCCTTAGTAACTAGTCTGGCTTTATACCGGTCAATCGAGCCATCAGCATTATACTTCACTCGATAGACCCATTTGCAATCAACAACACTCTTTCTAGTAGGTAATGGAACAATGGTCCATGTTCCAAGCTCTTCCATGGCTCGAAGTTCGTCGCTCATAGCATTTCTCCAAGTTGAAGACTTGACAGCTTGATGATAATAAGAGGGCTCAGCAACAGTCGAGATATTTGCAACAAATGCTCCATACTCAGTGGAAAGTTTTGAAGAACAAACAAAACTTTCGATGGGATATAAACATTTTGAAGAAGCATTATTGCAATAATAATATGAAGGTAGGAAGGTTTCTGAACGGTGGAATGGAACGTCGAACTGGTATTGAAATTTCATCAGTTGAGGCAGTAGGTTCTGAAGAAACATCCGCGTATGATTCAGTATTCTCAAGAGAAGCATTGTTATTTGAATCAGTAGAGCCCAGGAGAGCATCAGCAGTTGAGCTATTAGAGCCAAGAGAAGTTCCACCATTCAAGTCAGCATGTTCAAGAGGAATATGTTGAATTTCATGCACGTGTGGAGTATTGAATGTGTCATTTACAACCTTTGGCAAGCAAAAGTCCTGAAAAATGTCAACAAAATTGTCAGACAATCTTGCATTTCGAAAAGGAAATAACCCTTCATGGAATACCACATTTCTAGAAATAACAATCTTCTGACTTTGCAACATATAAACGCGATATCCCTTTACACTTGGAGGATATGCAAAAAATACCCCAAGTAAAGCTCGAGCTGAAAATTTGTCCCGTTGAGACTTCAAAGTGGAAACAAAGCAAAGGCAACCAAAAGCTCGAAACCTGCTGTAATCTGGTAGATGACCATGTAAGACTTCAAAAGGGGATTTGTTGTTCAAGGAAGGTGATGGATGTCTATTGATTAGATATGTTGCAATAAGTAAGCAATCACCCCACACATGAAAATTGATGCATTATACCCAAGTTAGTAAACAATTCAGTGAATTTTAACTCAGGAGCATTATCAGACCTGAATGATTTTATGTTAATTTCGAATTGTTTCTTAACCATTGATATAAAGGCGGGTATAATTATGTTAACATCAGAAATAAACCTAGGTAGATCTCGAGAAATCATCAACCAAGGTTAGAAATGAAGCCTGTCCAGAATATGTTTTGTGCTTGTAAGGTCCCCATATATCACAATGAACTAACTCAAACAATCGTGTAGTATAAGAAGAAGAGACTAGAAATGGAAACCTTTGTTGCTTGGCCAATGGGCAAACTTCACAAGATTTTTTTCATCTTTACATTCTTTAAAAGCAAAACATCCTTGAGAAGATGCATGACATGGAGACTAGGATGGCCCAATCTATTATGCCAGTCACTAGATAGACTGCTAGACACATTATTACAAGAAATATTAGATCTGAATGAAGACATCTGCAGCAAGTAAAGTCCTTGAACCAGCTCACCCTTCCCAATCACTCGATGAAGGTCCTGAATTAGGCAGTTCGTTTTACAAAACAACACACTAAGGTATAGAATTTCAGTAATGCACTGACTGAAAGCAAATTGAATTGAAATTCTGGAACAAACAACACATCATGCAAAACAAAATCAGATGAAAATCGAATTGTGCCTACAAAACTGACTGGGATGATGGATCCATTAGGTAAGGTGACTGAGCAGCTGGTTATAGGAAATAATGATTCAAAATTGTTTCTTGAATGACATATATGTCTTGAAGCTCCCGAGTCCAAAATCCAGTAGCCATATATTCCAACACCAGAAGCAGTTATGTGTGATATGATCTTACCTTGCATGGCAGTATTGATCGAAGTAGTAGGAATATCCAAGGATGATGCAGATTGTAACTGGGAAGTGAGCATGGCAATCAATTGCTGACATTGCTCAGGAGTAAAGGCTTCAGTGACAGCAGGAGAGTTGTGCTGAGATACAACAGAGTTGGTATGAATGGCTTGAGAATTCTTACCACGAGAAGAGGTCGAAGAGGACCAATTCTTAGAATTGTAACCAGGTGGATAACCGATCAGTTTGTAACACCTGTCTTTTGTATGGCCAAGTAGGTTACAATGGCTACACAAGGGTCTATTTTTGCGAGCATTAGTGCTAGGATGAGACTTAACAGCAAAGGTTGGCTCGTAAATAGGATGAGAAGATTGTATATTCCGTTGATTCTCTTCTTGAACAGTCAAAGAGAACTTTTGAAGTGGAGGAAGAGGATCCGTTAAAAGAATTTGTCCCCTTATATGAGCATAAGACTCATTTAACCTCATTAAGAATTGAATTACTTGTTCTTGCTGTTGTTCAGTAAGCATGTGCTGCACTCATCCACAATTACATTGGAGACAACTGCATAACTATCGAATTGAAAACAATTCATCCTAAACAATTTTCAACTGAGTATAGTAATTGCTTACGAACAATTTATCTTGCACGAGCTCGCATAAACATTTCTTTAAGTGAAATAAACGTGGTCTATTTGCCTGCTGGAAACGATCAACCGAATCTTTCCATATCTCAACATCAGTTGTGTGATATAGCAAACTCTCAACAATTTCTTTGGAGACTGAATTGAGAAGCCAAGAATTGACCAAATTATTGGCTCTTGTCCAGGCGTTGAACTGGTTTACCATAGAAGGATCAGGAGCTTGAATTGAACCATCAACAAATCTAAGCTTGTTCTTGGCAGATAAGGCAAGCATCATTGACCTTTTCCAGCTGTGAAAATTATCATTGGAAAGCAACTGACTCACCAATATCATGCCAGGATTATCAGACTGATGCAAGTAATAGGGATTTGCCCCATTAACGAAACTATCATTCAATGACTCAACTATGATGAAGCGTGAGAGAAGAGAAACAAACTTCTAATACCATATAACGATCGAAGAAACTGTAAATGAGTAGTGCTTTCTTGCATTGAAGAAGGATTGCAAGACTGGTTTATATACATCTATAAAGTTAGCTGACTAACCAAAAAACTACTACTAACAAATCAGCTAACTAACTGATAACAAACAAACTAACTACAAACTGATAACTAATCAACTATAAGCTATAAAGATTACAAGCTGAAGTT